CCAGAAGTGTTGCGTCACTCTCACAAATTGTTTTTCCTAAATTATGCTTCCAGTCCCCAGTCTTCGTGAGTGAAGGCCTGATGTCAGGACGTGGTAAGAGAGAGGAAGCAGGCAGGCTGTGGCATCACCTTCACAGAGGATTTTGTTAACTACTTTGTGTACATGAAGGGACTTGTGTATGCATCAGGCTGGCCTTCCTAAGCCCACATGGGCTCCTCCACATGGATGCTGCACATGGGTCACACAGCACTGGGACATGAGAGAACTTTGCACGGAAGCAGTATTGGCCTTATCCCGTTGACCTGGCTACCTGGCCAGGGATTACTGCACATGCTGGTCATCCTTAATGACACTAACCAAGGCAACAGCCCTTTATTGAGAGATTCCGTGTGGTATGTCTGAGAAAAACTAGATGGTTGGTAAACACAGGTTCTGAACCAATAGCAAAAACAGACCTAAGAGTCAGGAGGATTGCCCACTGGCTGGACTAAGAGTGTGTGCCAGGACAGCCATTTGGAAGAAGACTTAACATGTGCTCCTGAGGCAGACGGAGGGTGGAAGTAAACAGGCACTTGTGCCGAGACCCTTGGGTCCTGCATCCTACAACAACCGCACACGATGAAGACATGATGGTAAAGAATTCCCAGCCTTGGTCATTGTTCATCCTGACTCTGTGATTATTATTATTTTTAAATTATTTGTCTATTTTATTTGTTCGAGGTACAGAGAGAAGAAGAGACTCAAGTTCACTCTTCTGTGCTGGTTTGCTCCTCAAATGCCTGCCATAGCTAGAGCTGGGCCACCTAGAGAGACGAACTGGGAACTGAATCCCAGCATCTGGCCCATCACCTGTTGCCTCTGAGGGTGTGCCTTAGCAGGAAGCAGGAATGGGCAGTGGAATCAGATCCTAAGCTCCAGACACTCTGATCTGGAATGCAGCCATCTGAAGTGGCGTTTTACTTAGGCCAAATACTCTGCTCTCAAGTGTTCTTCATGAGCTTTTCACTTCTATGTTTTTAATCACTGGCAAAGGCCAGGAACAGAGATGGCATTTTTGGAGTTTAAGACTTACTAAACTATCTATGCAACACTGGGCAAGAACCAAATCATATGCAATCTCTGTATCTTTTTTTTTTTTTTTAAACAAGACTTGTTTGTAACCAAAGCACTTCAATAAAATCAACCTGTTGTTTGTTCAGCTATGGTAGAACACTTTCTCACAGAACATATTCAAAGAAATGATTGGGCAGGATCTTTTTATATGCTATTATCTTTTGAATATGTGAAATTTGAAAGAATGAGAAATGTACAAATTTAAATGCCAACTAGCACCCATTTTTGGAAAAATTGGTCTTTGGAAAAATCAATATCATTGATTCGTCCTCCGGAAAGTCATATTCCTTCCATAACCTGTTATGTGTAGTTTTCTCATTAAAATGGATTACCAGCACAACTGAAGCATGCAACAACTCGTTACTGCCTAATGAATATTCCTGACTCAAACTCCTCCTCCTCTGGCACATCTACCTTCCAGGGCAAATACATAAGGTGTTTCCAAACAGCCCCATCCATCGCCAATGACTCTGAAATGCTATCTTCTACAGCTTCCTTTAAAGTGATCAATAGCTCAGGTCTGCACCACTGCATGAGGGTAACAGTTCTCCCTGAATCCTTTCTCATTCTTGTCCTACCTCATCCCACATTGAACAGGGTACAACCTGCAAATGTGATCATGCTCCTGAGCCCCTCCAGAGGCTTCCTGGATGGCCTTCTGAACTGAGCAGACTAACAATTAACCATCTCACACAGCACTCTACAGTCACAAAACAGAAACTGGCTAAGACTGTCCCTCTCTCTGGTTCTTGTTCACAGTGTTCCTCAAGTCCCCATCCTAGCCCTCCATGTACAGACTTCCTGCTCAACCAAAGCCCACTCGTGTTTCCGGTGTCAGTCCTCCATATCACCTCCCCTCTCAGCACCTCATGCGTCTTCTCAATCACTTGTCATGGCTCTCATTAAATGAAGATCTGTGCAATGTATTTGCTTAGTTGGCATTTCCCCCCTAACATCCTTGACAGCAAGGGTCACAGTTTGTTCTTCATCCCTTGTTTCAGTGCCTAGGACGCAGCATGCTCAGTAAATACTTGTAATAATGCTGTATTTGTCCTGTGAAATTTTTCTGTAACAAATGTTGGTGGACTTTTTTTGGAACGGGCCACACAGTACTTCTTGGGGTTTTGTAGATCATACCGTCTCTACTGCAAGTTCTCAACTGCCATTGTTGCTTGAAAGCAGCCACAAAAAAGTTAACAAATGGATATTCATACATTCTGCCCCCAAACCCCCAAAACAACTATGAGTAACTAGTGGTAACTGGCATGGTCTCAGGCCTGATGTACACCAATCCCTTTTCTAGAATCTCTTTTGATGAATCTACCACAGAGATCTTAATTCAGTTCATAAATTCTCCCTTTCCTGTGAAGAATTTACTTGAATAAAATTACTAAAAAGCAAAACAAACACAAAACCACACAACCAACCTCTTCCAGATGTTTGGTCTTCTGCAGAATCTGCTTGTTCAAGGAGATAACTTTTCGATGATGTAGCTGGGATGTTCCTAATGTTTCAGGACTTTCTTCCGCTGACAGCTCAGACTGCTGTGGGGAAAAAGGCAGGACAAACCGAAAGGATTTCAATTCGCTGGGGTGCATCTAACCCATCCCCACCCAGGGGACAGCAGTCGCAGGGTGCCAGGGCACCTACAGGGCCCTCCTCACACTGCTGCTCCTAAGGAGACTCCCCCAGAGTGACCACAAGCCTTCCGGAGTGTCCATGCTTATTGGCAGAGGGAATAATGAGCCTGGAAGTCTGGCAGTTACCCAGGGATAAAACAGATGGGAAAGTGAGGACGACAAAATGACATGGTTATGACCAACATTTGTTTTAGTTAAGGATTCCTCTGAATAATTCAACATTATTCATGGATGACGAGCTTTTGCTGCTTAACAACTCTGGAAATAAAAAACTTCCAGCAGGATGTGGCTGGATAAAATGGCAAAGATTATGATTTTTTTTACCTTGTGGGTTGGTAGCCCATTAGAGAAATTTAAAAAAATTAAGTATTAGGTATAATAGCATGTCCAGCTTTAAACTTGAGACTTTGGAAAATGCCAAAATTAGCCTGTCAGGGTTTCCAGCAATTAGGCTTACTTTTAAAAATTAATTTTGGACATATTGAGATATTAATAATCTGGGGCTGGGCTGTGGCAAAGCAAGCGAGGCTTTTTCCTGTAGCATCATCATCCCATTTAGATGCTAGTTTAAGTCTTTGCTGCTCCACTTCTTTCCTAGCTTCCTGCTGGTGGCCTGGGAAAGCAGCAGAGAATTCCCCAAGTCCTTGGGCCTCTGCACCCATTTGGGAGACCTGGAAGGCGTGGGTCTCAGCTTCAGTCTAGCCCAGTTCTGGCCATTGTAGCCATCTCAGGAGAGAGTTAGTGAATGAATGCCAATCTCTCTCCGTCTCTCTCTCCTTTCCCTCTGTAACGATGCCTTTCAAATAAGCAAACCTTGTAAAATTTATTAATAATCTGTAGTCTGTGGAAGGAGAAACTGTTTAGGAAGATTATTTTTGAGGTATTAAAAGTGGGATGGTAAAAGAACATGATCTAGTTCCAAAATATTTGTCAGAAGTAATAGAATTAATAATATTGTTGGCTCACCCTGAGCTCTGCTGCTGGGTTAGCCACTTCTGTATACTATACAGAGGTTAACAGCTTTTCTCTTACAGTCCATTTCAGCTTTTTATTTTATATCCCACTTAGATTCCTTGACACTGACTTACACTCTCAGACCATTTTACCTTACTAGCAGAATTATATAAACCTTTTAATTCATGACTTATTGACACCCCAAATTGGATTAATTTCCTATTCCCTAGAAAAACCCTACATAGTAGTTTTCAATGTTTGATGTTAACATCTTTAAAAAAAATTTTTTTTTATTTGGGGCTCAGTGTGGTACCCTAGCAGCTAAATACTGGGATCCCATTTGGGTGCTTGCACATACTGGGATCCCATTTGGGTGCTTGTTCTAATCCCAGTGGTTCCACTTCCCACCCAGCTCCTTGCTTGTAGCCTGGGAAAGCAGTCAAGGATGGCCCAAAGCCTTGGGACCCTACACCCATGTGGGAGACCCAGAGGAAGCTCCTAATTCCTGGTTCCTGGCTTTGGATCGGCTCAGCTTTGGCTGTGGCTTTTGCAGTGGCTTCAGGAATAAATAATCAGACGGAAGATCACCCTCTCTGTCTCTCCTCTTCTCTGTATATCTGACTTTCCAATAAAAATAAATCTTTACAATAAATATTTACTTATTTGAAAGGTGGTGTTATAGAGGCACAGAGATTGAGAGAGCATGTTCTATCCACTGGTTCGCTTTCCCAAATGGAACCCCATGCACATCTCTCATGTGGATATCAAGGGCCCAAGCAGTCAGGTGATCTTTGGCTGCTTTCCTGGCCACATTAGCAGTGAGCTGGAGTGGAAACACAGTAGCTGGGATGCTTACTAGCATTCCTAAGGTATGCTTGCATCTCAGGAGACGGCGTAACTTGTAACACCACAATGCCAGACCTGCTTTTCTGCTTGTTTTTAAACACTTATTTGAAAAGCAGAGTTATACAGAGAGACTAAACGAGAGATGGGGGCAGGGAGAAAGTGGTAGGGAAGAGAGAGATTGATTATTCTTGGATATCCTGACCTCCTTTAGCTATCACTCTGATTTCCAGAATAAGATCCACTGAAGCAGGTAGGTCCAACCTCTATGGGTGTCATCAACCCACAGACCCCTCTGGTCACAGTGGCTGAGCACACACTGATTCATTTCTGTCTCCAAGTCTTAACAGATTTTATGTTGATGAACTGCTCTTTAAACTAAACCCAAGAAAATAAAAAAAAATTAACTCCCTATCAATCTCAAATTCATTTTTTAAAAAAAGATTCATGTTTATTTATTTGGAAGAATTACAGAGAGAGAGAGAGAGAGAGAGATCAATCTTCTACCTGCTGGTTCATTCCCCAGATGCCCACATGGGCCAGGGCTGGGCCAAGCTGAAGCCAGGAGTCTGAAACTTCTTTCAGATTTCATATATAACTGCAGGAGCCCAACCACTTGGGCCCTCTTCTGCTGCTTTCCTTGGCACATTAGCAGGGAAGTGGTGCAGCTGAGACTTAAACTAGCAATTGTATGGGGTTCTGGTATCACAAATGGGCAGCTTTACCCACTATGCCACAATGCCAAACTCCTACCAGTGAATGGCACACACATACAACCTTACTTTAAAACTACGACCTACAAACTTCACTTATAAGGACTCTTAAAAGAACTCTTACAGCAGGAAGACCAGTAACCCTCTTGACTTCTGAAATGAAAATTTCCAAACTGGCTAGCCAGCTATCTAGCTAGATCTGAATTTTGAGCACCATGAGTCCCGCAAGACTCCTTTGTAGACCTAACTGACTGGGCCACTCAAATTTCACGTCATATGAACAGAAAGTATTTCCTCATTCCCCCCTTTTACTGTTCAGGTGATCTGGATAACCACACAGAGAGAAAATGTTTGCAGTACTAAAAAAGAACCCTGAAGTCTCTATACAAATCTCCATCTGCATGATAGCCTGAGGGCACTTCAAAAAGCTCACTGAAAAACAGAATTAAAAGATCAGTTGTATTTGTTAATAAAATTTCACAATACACATTTTCCATGCATTTATTTTAGATAGTTAACTAATTATCTGATTTATTCTGTTTCACTTTTTTAACTAGTGGTTTTCAAAGTCAATCTGATCTGTAGATAACGATTCTCAGAATAACAGTATCCATGATCTTTTAAAAGACTCCCTAGTATGCAGAGTTCTCAAAAAATTTTGATAGCAAAATACACTTATCTTTTAATTCCACCTTCAACTTTTCAAAGAACCTTCATATGTGTTCCAAATGAATACTGCTTTCAAAATGCTTTCTTTTATTGCTTGGTAACAATCCTGTTTTATGGCGTTCCTTAAATTTGGACTTATCCAGAAAGCATAAATGCACACTCATATCAGGACATGACACGCCACTTCCCTGAGAATTCTCCAGTCCATCAAATGAACTCATTAAGACGAGTAAGATGCACACATACAGGTCTCAAGTACAGATTAAATTGGAGAGTTCTCTCATTTACCCGTAAGCCTAGAAATTGTTCTATAACAGAAAAGTTCACAGGCTTCACAGAAAGTTATTTTTGGACAGAGATGATTTCTTGTAAGGCTGAACTGAAGAGAGTTCTTAATCTAGTCAATGAAAAGGTGACTGTTCATTTCAAACACACTTTCCATCAACTGATCTAAGATTCTTGTTCAGATACTCTCTTCAAATCCAAGAGAACGCAGACTGATGAAGACAGAAACAGGTTCTTAACGCAGCAAGGTTCATTAACCATTGTTCACTGGGGGTTACAATGGGAAAGAGAGCTGAGGAGTTCCAAATTAGACCTTGATCAATGATACCAAGTTGGACAGATGGAGAAAGAGAGTACCTTTATGCTAAATCCCTGACAGTAAAAATTCAACCCTTGGGCACCTTAACTGATTTCTACTTACGAAATGCACTGTTTGTCAAAGAACACCAAATATTTGAATTGTGTTTACATTGGAGTGAGGGCTAAAGGGCCAATCTAATTTTGATCCACAATTCTAGATTAAGAACGTGCTTTCAAAGCCACAGTGTGGATTAAGATGACTTTAGTATGAATCCAATATTTTCTAATAGCTGACAGATATTTGCAACTCCTGTTTTTAAGGACGACAGATTTAAATGTCACTCAATATTAAACCAGTTCAACATGGTAAACTCTCAAGAGAAACAAAAAATGATTACTTTAGCTGAAACTATATATTTTTATAATTGAAAGAGACCTAAAAGGTTATTCACATACCAACACACCATACAGGGATCTCTCCCTACCCTCCTCCTTCACCCAAGTGTGGCCACCATGTTAAGCTGACAGTTACAAACAATCCCTACCTCTTGAGCCTCTCCACAAAAGTAAACAGAGACTTAAGCTTCTAGTACTTTGTTGGATTTTCCAGTTGAAAACATTAAATGGACTATGCAAAATATTATTTGTTATTGTTAAATACAGCATCTAGAAAGAATGTTAAGAAATTCTATTAGGCCACAAAGCAAGAGACAATGTGAAGGACATATACTCAGAGAACTCAGCTTTTGTTCTGAGGGTATTCATTCAAACCAGAGATCTCAAGAAATAACATTTCTCATTCAGTAACAAGTAACCTGTGTGAACTTTGATACAGGAGTAAGAGAGAAAACATTTGCAGAGAGATTGCTAACAGCCTAACCCTGCTGCAGTTCTGTACCTAAATTCACTTACCCACAAGGTTTAAAAACCCTGCAAGTCTGTACAATGAGCCTGGACAGGCATGACTCTGGGTGCTTGGCAGAAACAAAAACATTCTCCCTAGAACACCACGTCAACGCCAGGCCTCAAAACATTTCCACAGATAAATCTACAAAGAACAAGAGGTCCAAGAATGAAACCAACAGCAAAAAAAGGAGTCAAAGTATCATGGACAAAAGCTAGAAAAAACAGCAGAATGAT